GGGAAAGAGAAAAAATGTGTCCTTATATGCTCATTTCTATTTTTCTTTAAATATATTTATTCTGCTATTTGTCAATCATAAATCATTAAGCTTAGAAAAATTACATGTCTGTTACAGTTATATCATGGTAACATATAATAATAATATATACATATATGCAAACCTGATGAAAACCTGTATATGCATGTTTGTGCATATATATATATATATATGTATATATATATAATATTTGATACGGTTGTTTTGATAATAACAAATGTGAATAAATGAACTGAACTATTAAATGTACCATAGTTGGCACTCAAAAAATATTAGCCCTTATTATTGTTATATTGTTATTTCTATAAATAATTAATACATTAATATAGAAAAGGAAGCGTGGCAGTGTGAAGACCTTTGCCATCTTGCTCCCCAGTGAAACAAATGAAAACTATAAAAAACTATTTAAAAGCCTCTGTAAAATTACAATAAAGGCAAAAAGCAAATAAAAAAATCTACTCTAAAGCACTTATGAAAAGTTGGTAAGAAAGGCAAGAGTCTGTGGTGTTTGAATTAGAACCATTTTCTCATAGCTCACATGGTGCTACTATAGGAGCCCCAAATTCCATTTGTAAGTATATATCCAAGAGAAATGAAAACATGTATCTATACAAAAACTTGTACAAGAATGCTTATGGAAGCTTTATTTGTAATCGCCTACTGTGGAAATAACCCAATATTCATCAACTGAAGAATGAATAAATAGATTTGGAGTCTATAATAATAAAAGCATACTATGCTAATTAGACCAGACGTCCTTCCAGAAGACCTTCTGGACGAAGCCGGGGCTGCGAGGGAAGCCTGGGTCCTGGGTACCAGAGGAAAGCCTCGGACCTCTAGTATCCATATAATGGAATGTTATTTGTCCATAAAAAGAAATGAAGTAGTAAAACCATAGCTACAAGAAAAGAAAACTACAGACCAATATTTCATATGGACATGCCACAAAACTCCTCAACAAAATATTAACAAACCAAATTTAGCAGTATATTGAGAGAATTACACAACATGACCAAGTGATGTTTCTTCCTGAAATGTAAGGTTTGTTCAATATTTAAACATCAATCAGCGTAATGCACCAGGTTAACAGAATAAAAACCCCCCACACATACAGTAATGTCTATTATAATGGCTTTACTTTAAAAAATAAAAAGTAAAAATGTTGGCTAGGTTGTAGAGAAATTGAAACACTTGTGCATTGCTTATGGGAATGTAAACTGGTGGAGCCACTGTGGAAAACAGTTGGCAGTTTCTCAAAAGGTTAAACATAGAATTACCATATGACACTCCTCTATCAGTAACTGACAGGTCTGGCAGGCAGAAAATCAGTAAGGGTATAGTTGAACTCAACAGCACCATCAATCAACTGGATCTAATTGACATCTACATAACATTTCATCCAACAAAAGCAAAGTGCACATTCTTTCCAAGTTCACACACCTGAGCCATAAAACACAACTTAACAAATTTTAAAAATAATAGTCATTATAATAGGTGCAAATCGGCATCTCATTGTCATTTTGATTTGATTTCCCTAATGGTTAGTGATGTTTTACATCTGGGATTTCCTTTTGAGGTGATGAAAATGTTCTAAAATTGTGGTAATAGTTACAAGTATCTGTAAATACATTAAAAACCATTGAATTTCCCTGGCCTGGTGACCCAGTTGGTTGGAATTTTATCCCCTGCACCAAAAGGTTGCGAGTTCTATTCCTGATGAGAACACATACCTAGGTTGCACATTTGATCCCCAGTAGGGGCATGTATGAAAGACAACTGATTGATGTTTCCCTCTCACATTGATGTTTCTTTCTCTTTCTTTCTTCCCCTCTCTCTGAAAATCAATAAACATATGCCCTTGGATGAAGACTTAAAAAAACCCAAAACTAAAAACATTGAACTGTCTGTTTTAAGTGGTATGAGAATTATATCTCAATGAAGCTGTTAAACAATGGAAAAAAAGAGACAAGGAAAAAAAAGAAAGCTTAGTATTTCTCTGTGCATGATGACATAAACATGCAATGATATGGATGTACTGCTACATCTAACTCTGGTTCATCGCCTTAACCACTCGGCCATGACTACAAGCCTGCTACATCTAACTCTGAAGAGAAAAACTGCTGCCATGCAAGACTGAAACATCTCAGGGGGTAGGAAGGGGACTACATATTGGCCAACTCTTGAGAAGCCTGGGAGTGACTCTTCTTCTGGGAAAAATATTCATAGGTTTGTGGAGAACAAATGAAAGAGAGATGGAAAATGCTAGCTAAAAAAATGAGTTTCCTTCTTAATGAAGCAGGAGAAATTTTGGTGAGCTGAAACCATAAACTCTTAGAAGAAAACATAGGGGTATATCTTTGTTACCTTGAATTTGGCAATGGATTCTCATATATCAACAGCAAACACACCCACAAAATATATGAGTTGGACTTCATCACATTTAAAAAGGTTTGTGCTTTAAAGGACATTATCAAGAATATGAACAGAAAACATTCAGAATGGGAGGAAATATTTGCAAATCACATAGCTGATAAGGAGCTAAGATTTAGAATATATTAAAGAACATTTACAACAAAAGGACTAAAGGACTGTCACACAGGAGATGAGAATCTGCTGTTCCCAATCCTCAGTCTCCTCAGCCCCTTACTCAGGTAGGAGCTGGGGAAAGCATTGAAATGCTGGCCATAATGAAGGTACAGGGTTTCCTTGCCACGGTCCAGGAAGGGAGTGTTTGCTAAACTCTTAGGTAAGTTACTTTCCTTCATTGGGCCTTAGAAGCAAGGAGAATAGGTTCAGGACTTCTGCAGCCCTTTCCTGCTAAACACCACTGGCTCTCAGAGATTTTGCCTCTATTACCAAGCCAGATTTTTGGGGATTGTGTGGGCAGCTGGCCCCCAAGGACAGAGATTTTGAGGTTTTGAGTGGTTCCAGGGTGGTTGGGTGCCAGAAGCCAATTCTAGCATGTCATAATTTCAAGAGTTTCATCAAAAGGTTGATGGAACTTCGGGACTCAACAAGGGTTGAGCCACATATGTTGTCACCTGTTGGGAATGGCTGATGGCATTTCCCCAACCCTGAAAAGGGATGATTGCTGTTGTGTGGGCAGCTGGCCCTCAAGGACAGAGATTTTGAGGTTTTGAGTGTTTCCAGGGTGGTTGGGTGCCGGAAGCCAATTCTAGCATGTCATAATTTCAAGAGTTTCATCAAAAGATTGATGGAACTTTGGGACTCAACAAGGGCTGAGCCACATATGTTGTCACCTGTTGGGAATGGCTGAAGGCATTTCCCCAAACCTGAAAAGGGATGATTGCTTGATGCTCAGGGCATCTTAATCTACATGTTATTGCCTCCTACTGGCCAAGCACCTGAAAAGCCATAGGCTAATTCCCCCATTCTGACAATGCCTCTGTATACTAAACCCTGACCCTTTGATGTATAGATCTCTGCCTCGCCTCAGGACAATTTGTGTTAATAAAAACCATGGGGTCCTGAGACAAGGAGGTTTTAGTTCCTTTTAACTAAGCTCCTCTGACCCCCCAAATGCCTTTCAAAATTATACTTTGTCTCTGAACTCTCTCTTTATGAAGTTACACACAGCCCCTTCTCCAGATTGCTGAACCCTTCTTGATGCCGGAACAAGAACCCCGGAAGTTGGGTTAATATCATGTTCCTCTTTCCTCTCCCATGAAAATGGAAAGCTTCTTCTAGGGAACCCCAAACCCCACTATTACGGTATCTCAATGGAGGCAGGGTTTGCTAGGGATGCTGTGGCACCTGGAGCCTCCCTGAGCCTGGGCCACCCAAGTATCTCTGCTTAGAACCCACTGGCCCTGGAGGACTCAGATCCATGAAGAGATGAGGTAGGCTGTGTCTACTCCCTTCCCCCAGTCCCAGAACCCAGAGATGTGGCCTCCATTGACCAAGCCCAGAGGGGGAGTGTGGTGGGGAAGGGGTAACATAGAAGCACACAAATGTTAGCTATTATTGCTATTATGTTATTACTATTGAATGAATAAATAAATCATACCTTAAAATAGAAAAGGAAAGCTTAATATTTTTCTGTGCATGATGGCACAAGAGCACAATGAAATGAATGCTTATCACTTGCTCTGAAAAGGAAACCTGCTGCTGTGAACAACTGGAGTCTCCAAGGGAAAGAAGATCTGTGACAAGAGTCAACCTAGATGGTCTACATTCCTGCGAGTCAAGGCCTGTCCACAGGACACAGCAGCAGCAGCGCCTGGGAGAGTGTGAGAAATGCAGAATCTCAGGTCCCCACTCAGATCTACTGAGTCAGGGTTGTCTTTTAACAAGATCCCCCTTGATGTTCAAGAGAACATTGGGGAACGCACAGCTAAATTAGCGCATGCCACAGGAAGTCTATGAGGGGTGGAATGGAGGACCATTCTAGGATCCCCTAAGAAGGAATAATGATTACATGTCCTTTACAAAGGTTTCAGTCCCAAGGGTGGGAATGTTCTTGAGGATTCACATGGCTGGAAATCAGTGATTTGGTGGGAGGATTTTGCCAAGATCCTACTTAACAACGTAACCTTGCTTCATGTTATTTGAACATATTTGGTTAACTCGGTGTTTAGTGTTATTGACTTTCACTTCCTACAGCTCCAGTGTTTTGGGAAAGTTAGTTTAAAAACTAACACGATAGCTTGAATTCTAACACAATTCTTAGTAATCCCCACGGACATTCAAGTTTGAGAAGCAGTGGGGGACATGCCACTCAGGTAGAGAGAAATGGAGGATCTACAGAAATTCCTGGAGAAAAAGAATAACAAAAATACTATAATTATCTATGGTTTTGTAGGAATATTATTTTTTTAGTCAAATAAGAATATAAAACTGGGAATACTATTTTAATTGAATAAGTTTATGCCAACATGGCTAATTAAAAAATATTCTGTGATACCACATTGACATCGCAAAGAAAAAAACAACAAAAACAATGTTTTTGCCCCCAGATCTTTTATTTTTATAGCCATAGGGAAGGGAAGTTGGGCTTTTCTCCTTAAAAGTGAAGTTCTGTGTCTCAGTTTTGTTTTCTGCCCTACCTTGTGCTTCTGTTTCCTAATTTAAATGGAATTCTAATGTTTCCTCTTAGCATCATGACTATGGAAAGTATCAATGTAATAATGTTTGTGAACATGCTTTGGAAATTAAATGTTGTGAATTTTTTTATGTTTTTATTGATTTTTTTAGAGAGAAAGGAAGGGAGAGAGATAGAGAGAAACATCGATTTGAGAGAGAACCATGGATCAGTTGCTTCCTGCACGAACCCTGGGGGATAAAACTCAAAATTTGTGTATGTGCCTGACTAGGAATCAAACTGGCGACCTTTTGGTGCACGGGACCTATGTCCAACTAACTGAGCCACACTGGCTAGGGCATGTTGTGCGTTATTTTAAAAGTCACCGATCATTTCCTTTTCCTCTGTTCTAATGATGACTGCAAATCAATTGGCGTGCATGGTCTTCCCTTCTCCAAGAGCTCTCTCCTTGCAGACCTGCTTGTCTTCTGTGTTTTTTCATGGAGAAAGCAAGATACTGAAGCCAAAGTGTCATTACAGGGTTAGCAGAAGCAGCGCACTATTGTTTATCCCCACATCTCAAATCTTCTCATTGAGCTTTTCCATTCTGCCACATGGAATGGAAAATGTTTCCCGAACACTATTGTTTGCAGTTATAATCCTTTACATTTTCCTGGCTTCCAGACCCACCGCGTCTTTGCGCCAATCTGGAACACACACTGGGGACTATTTCATTTGTGGCGCCTTCCTGTTCATGCTTTTGGATGGTTGCCTTTTCACAGCACACGCAGCTCATTTAGGCATTAACATTTCAGGAAACACACAGTGGCATTTTAAGTGAAGTAGAAATTAGAAAACTCTGCTGTTCTTAGTTACTCTTTTCTCCCAAATTCGAAAAGAAATCACTGTCAAATTACCCAAATCGCATTTATCCTTTTGAAACTCCCCGAGTTGTTGTCAGTATTCTGCCAAACTCTCTGTTTGTATCCCCTTAGATAGAAATTATGCCCCTCTGGAGCAACAACGGGGAGAAAACTGAAGCATGCTAGAATCAGAGAAAACAGTTCTCTGAGGCACGAAGAACTCCTTCCCCCAGCACTTGGCTCCTACTTCTGCTTTATGGCTCTTGTAATTGTGTCTATGTGAATCCATGTTGCACCGACACAAGTTCTTAATTATAGTTATCAATCAATATAAGTTGGTTGGTCAATTTATTGGTAAAGAATCCCTTCAACAAAGAAAGGGTGATAGGAATTTCCAAGGCTACAAAGAGACCCAGCAAGGGGCTGGATAATATCCATAGTTTTCTCCACACAATATGTTGAATGGGAACCAAACTTACATTTTGCTTTAGATCAGGTGGGCAATGATGTACTATTGCTCATTAAAAATAAAGTGCTATATCACTAAAAAAACAACAACAACAAACAAAAATAACACTAGCCTATTTGGGAGTGGTTAACAAATAAATAGAGTCTCACATATTCACTACCACATTGGTAAGCACTTCTGACCGGCAGAGGAAATTGGGGTGCTCACTCTTTTGCCTGAAACAGTTCAAATGGAAATACAGTTGATCCTTGAACAACATGGGGTTGAACTGCAGGGGTCCACTTATGGGCAGATTTTTTAAAAGTAAATACGATAAATTTCTTTTCCTTATGATTTTCTTTTTTTTTTTTAAATATATTTTATTGATTTTTTACAGAGAGGAAGGGAGAGAGATAGAGCGTTAGAAACATCAATGAGAGAGAAACATCGATCAGCTGCCTCCTGCACATCTCCCACTGGGGATGTGCCCGCAACCCAGGTACATGCCCTTGACCGGAATCGAACCTGGGACCTTTCAGTCCGCAGGCTGACGCTCCATCCACTGAGCCAAACCGGTTTCGGCATGATTTTCTTAATAATGTTGTCTTTTCCCTAGTTTACTTTATTTTAAGAATAGAGTGCATTATACATATGACATAAAAAGATGTGCTAATCAGCTTTGTGTTATCAGCAAGGCTTCCAGTGAACAGAAGGCCATTAATTCAGTGGACCCTCTACATTCGCCTATGCCCAACTTCAGACTGAAATTTTGATCCACAGTTGGCTGAATCCATGGATTCCAACCCATTGATATAAAGTACCAACTTTAGTTAAATTTTTGGGAAGTAAAAATTACACATGCATTTTTGACTACACAGGGGACCAGGGGGTTAGAAAACCCTAATCTCCACATTGTTCTAGGGCCAATTGTATTTTCTGATTAAAATTAGTGATGGAAGGATTCCTGCCTTGGGGTGGTGAATGCACAACACAACATACAGGTGATATATTATAGAATGAGAAACCTAAAACTTATATAATTTTATTGACCAATGCCACTCCAATAAACCCAATACAAATAAAACACAACAAAAATGATCATACAACTAAAATACTACTTAAAATAATAAAATAACAATAATAGAATGTCTAATAACCTGGTGTATTAGGGTTCTTCAGAGAAACAGAACTAAAACATTGTATGTGTGTATGTGTGTGTGTGTGTGTGTGTGTGTGTGTGATTTATTTTAAGGATTGTCTCACATGATTGTGGATGCTTGGTAGGTCTGGAATTTACAGCATGAGTCAGCAGCATGACACTCAGTGAAGAGTTGCAGGCTGAGCCCAAAGGCCCACTGTTGGCATAATTCCTTCTTACTCAGAGGAGATCAGTCTTTGTTTTATTAAGTTCTTCACTGACTACTGAGGTCCTTTCACATTATGGAGAGCAATCTGCTTTACTCAAAGCCCACTAATTTAAATGTTAATTTCCCTTAAAACACACACACACACACACACAAACTCCTTCACAGAGACATTCAGAATTCAAAACCTGGACATCATGGTCCAGCCAATTTTACACGAAAAGTGAACCATCACAAGGTTAATCAGAATTTTAAAAAATATTTTTATTGATTTTTAGACAGAAAGGAAGGGAGAGGGAGAGAGAGAGAAAGAAAGAGAAACATCAATTGGCTGCCCCCTGCATACCCTCTACCAGGGATCAAGCCCACAACCCAGGCATGTGCCCTGAACTGGATTGAACCAGCAACCTTTTGGTGCATGAGAGCATGCCCAACCTACTGAGAACACTGGCTAGGGTAAGGTTAATCAGAATTTAACTAATTTTAAGAATTCTTGTTAGTTGAGGTTTTAGTTTTTAATCAGCTACATCTCATTGAGATATTACACAGCCTTCTCTTTCCTTATTTCAACTCCACCTTTTTTTTGGCTTATGTTACTGCCCCCCCCACCCCCACACACACACACACACGCACACGCACACACACACACTCTGATCCTGACTGTGACCAAGCTTGGAGGTCAGCCTGCATGGAAGAAAGGGGGTGCAGTTTGCACTGGATTCTTAGAAACTTACTTTCTGTAAAGATGTAATGATGTTACTGTTGTCTAGTCCCCTGGCGCTTTTGTACCTTTTCATTTTGAGTTGTTGCCACAAGGAAGTTAAAATGATGAATGTGAAATGGAAATTTTCTGGTTCAGATACAATTATATGTTTTTCAGTGGCTTATTTTTTTATTTTAGTAAATAAGCATTTAGCAGAGTCAGGTAGTAGAACTAATGATTACAATTTTGCCTCAAACAACAGAGGAGACAAATACTGTAATTATATGAAGTACAAATCAAATCACCTAATTAAGTAGAGAAGGAATATCTGCAATAATTGCCGAGGTATAGACCAGTTACCAGTGCACAAAAAAAATCCCATAATTTTAAGAAATACATCCATGCCTGATTTATCAAGAGGTAAATATAATAAGTACATTTTTACTTAAAAAATACAAGCTTCATCTATAGTAAATAACATCAAATGACTCCTCAGACTTCTCTATCTCTATTTCTTTTTAAAAATATATATTTTTTATTGATTTCAGAGAAGAGAGAGAGGGAGAGAGAGATACAAACATCAATGATGAGAGAGAATCATCGATTGGCTGCCTCTTGCACGTCCCCTATGGGGACCAAGCCCACAATCCGGGAATGTGCCCTTGACCGGAATTGAACCCAGGACCCTTCGGTCTGTGAGCCAATGCTCTATCCACTGACCAAATTAGCCAGGACTCTCTATTTCTTTAGAGAATTGAAAATATATATGTAAATGATCTGTTTTATAGGAAAAGAATATTAATACTTAATTGTACAAATTAAATACTTCTTTGTTCATGTCCCAACTCCAGGAAGCCTCAGTGATGACTGCCAGCCCATGATAGCTACATGATGTGCAAAAGCTCAGCTCTCAACCATTTGCTTCCTCTGTTTTTTGGCACCATGGTTGCCATATGGCTTGCCCTGTGTGCTCCAGTGATTTCCCAGAAGGGCTTCATCTGCCTGCCCAAGATTCTAAGTCTATCCGAAACAGAAATTGTGCCTTCCATCTCTACTGTCTCTTCCCAGTCCTACACCACTTACTGAAAGCATTAAACATTCAGTGTGTGAGTATGTGTGTGTGTGTGTCCATGTAAGTGTCACACTCTGCCCTTTGCCAGGAAACATCAAATGGTTCCCACCATAGTGTCGTAGGAAGCACTTTGGGGCTGTCCTCATGGCATTATGCAATGCACTAACCAGCCTGGACTTTTACATCTAATTATTTCCTCACAAAATCTCAATAAAAACATGACAACTCTTAAGATCCCTTAGTCAAAGAAAGCTCTGTGTTACTAGCTCAGATTACATTCCAAATTTCCTATACCATTTCATCTTTGTCTCCTTAAAGTGTTAAAGAGAATTTCCATGGAGAATTCTCACCTTGTCACATTCCCCACAGCAGAGAGTTCAGTGTTTCTATTATCGTCCTCATCCTACCTGCTCTGGCTCAGTGGGTTTCCTTACTCCAACTTCAATAAGGAAATGGCCAAATCCAAGCAATTTTCCTTAATTTCATTATATCCCACCTTGGCGTCTTCTTGTGTCTTCACTCTTTATTACTTTGGCTGGATCCCATTGTCTTCAACTTTTCCCAGAATTTGCTCTTCAATGATCAATCATTAATGTATTCCTCTTCATCTATAAACTTGCTCAGTCACTCCCACCCTAAAATCCATTCTAGTGCACCAGGGAACATGCACTTCTCTCTTTTCTGTAATGGGTTAAAGCCTTCTATTATGTTTTCTGTGCTCTTTCAGCTCCTCCCCTTTTTGGTGTTTGTCTCACCATTTTTCTAAAACTGCTCTTTCAACTGTTTCCAGCAACTTTATTTATTTATTTATTTATTAAAATATATTTTATTGATTTTTTACAGAGAGGAAAGGAGAGAGTAGAGTTAGAAACATCGATGAGAGAGAAACATCAATCAGCTGCCTCCTGCACACCCCCCACTGGGGATGTGCCCGAAACCCAGGTACATGCCCTTGACCAGATTCGAACCTGGGACCTTTCAGTCCGCAGGCCGATGCTCTATCCACTGAGCCAAACTGGTTTTGGCAGTTTCCAGCAACTTTAAAAATAATCAAACAAATAACCCAATAAAGTAATAATTTTTCAGTCCCTAGCCTTCTTGAGTTTTCAGCAACTTAGGCTATTTGGAACATTCTTGACCTGAAATGTATTTTTCTCTTAGTTCCCCTAAATTATGAATTTCTGAAACTCTTCCTACTCCCACTAGCATCCCTGTCTCTGTCTCCTTTACTAGTTCTTCACTGTTTTGTAGCCATTAGGAAAGAGCAATGGTTTGGCAGGACAACTGACCTCCAATCCTTGTGTTTCCAAACTCATTTTTAACACTGGAGATTGCTTACTCTGGGTGGTTCTCAGCCTTTGTAGCTGTAGAACGGGGTAGTCTGCTACACTGCATTTTAATGGTGCTTTACTAAGTCTTAAGAATCCCTTTCACATTTCATGGCCACCATCATGATTCCAAACACAACAGCTACACTGTATTCTGGTATATGGATTGGGTATCCATGGTAGATTTTTACTACCAGGGAAAAAAACTGAGTCTGAAATGCAAGTAGTTTGGACAAATGAGTCCAGAGACTGTTAGCTTAAATGAGTTGATAGATACCATTTCCAATGATCAAGTTTGATGAGGGAAAACATGCCCTGTAACGGGACAAAAGGGATGCTGGGCACACCATCCACTGGGATGGTATTCAATCTGGCGGCCCGTATTCTCCACGTGCGATGTTGGTGCAGGGCTGGAA